ATTTACAAACACAGGCCTAAACCATACAATATCCAATTGAAACAATAAAAATCAATACAGAAATTATAATAATACAATATACAACAGTAAAAATCAACACAAACCTAATAATTATGCAATATAAAATACTGGATATCCAAAACCAAAAACAAGCTACCAAAATAAAAATGTTAAAGCTTATCCTAAGTCTGAGCTCACTTACACTTATATATAGGGAATAAAGGGGGAGAGAAAAAGTCAGAAATGGTTGGGGAAGGGGAGGGAATGCATTTTAAAATAAATTAAAAAAAAAAGAAAAACTGGGGGTTTTGCTACACTGGGAAGCAGGCTTTAGGTTTAGGCAGGGACAGAAATTACACATAAATCCTAGTACAGATAGTAAAAAGCTTGAAGCTGAATCAAGTCAATCTTTGCAGGTTAGTCTAAGCTGCATAGACTTATAACAGATAAGCAAGTGACCAGACATTCACTCTTGATTCCAGAACTGTGGCCACATGCCTGCAGTGGCTGAGGCCAGAAGCCAGGGGCACTAAAGCATGCCTCCCTGCTTGGCTGGAGCAGACAGCCTGGGCCAAGGCTAGCCCACCCACCCTGCAAGGGGGAAGGGGTTTGTGGGAAAGGTGCAAAGCATCCTGGGATGCTGGGGGACTGTGAGTTAACTTGAATCTGGGGGACATCTGGGACAGAAGTTCAATAAATGGATTGAACCTAAATCAGTAAATCTGATATTACAGCCAATCAGGTTTATATTAAACTCATTTTGGTCATTTTGGAAGTGGCTTACATGCACTGAACTTTTGTTGTGTTACAGATTTGAACCAGTTTCTGATCACTTGTACCAATTTCATCCTGTACAGACCTGGTGGCAAGCTGCCCACCACACCTGTACAGAAATGTCATGAAATTTCAAAGGTTTTTTAACCATATTTCCCTTCATGCCAATGTGTTTGAGTCTGCTTTCTCTTTATTGTACCCTTGGTTACACAGGCACTGTTGAAAATTTAGCCCCTCCCACCTCATAATGAAACTGTATCCCATGTGAAAACACCTTGTTTCAGGCTTCATTTCAAACTGAAAATACATTCAAAGTTGCCCACTAAACTGATGGTTACATATCCAAATGTAATGCTTGTCTTTAGCATAATCCTATTATACAACTGAGATAAACTTGATGGTTGTGTTTTGCTTTGTTTTTTGACTTTTAGGTTCCTCTGGAGTTGCTTAGACTCACTTGAATTCAGGGGACTGAGAAAGACAAATTCACAGAGACTAGAAATGAAAAAGAGGCTTTTTCATACCCAGCAAAAGCCAGAGCACCAGGTCTCACAGAGCTACCAGGTTTACCTTTGCCTTCTGCTGAAGAAGAGAGAAAGTATCCAACTGACCAACACATACCTAGAAATACCAGTGGGAAATAAACTAGCCACTTTAGCTGAATTTCATCCACTACTCAACTGTCATAGTTCTGATAATTCTTAAGCTAGTAATAAATTGGTAAAATCGTTATAAAATAAATCCCCCAAAGATGCATTTGCTCTGTCATTGGCATTGACGGCTAACCCGTTTTAAACCCAGGTGACCAAGAAAAGGAAGGAAGAGGGAATTTCCTAAACTCATCAATCTGGCTTCCAAAAACAACTGGATGCCTGAACATGGCTCACACCAGCGCAGGCTAGAATCCTCTTCCTAGTCCCAGAATGCCTTACATTGTTAATATTTTATCCTATCCCATCTTGTAACAAAGGCCTTTGCCATTCCTTCAGACCAGCTTATCTCAATGACCTTGGCCCCCAGTTTCCTAACAAATATTCTCCTCCCTAAAGTTATCTTAAGTTTAAATATTTCATTACAGTTTTAGCTTCCAAACATCTTACACACAAATGAACAGCTGGATTGCTGGTGCTTCCCTTCCAGCAGAGAAAATCGAATACAGTAATGTTGACTAATGAGTCCGCCTTTTGCCACATATTAACTCTTGTTGTTATGCAAGTCAGTCAAAGCCTCTTTTCTCCTGTTATTTCCCAACTTTTCAAGAAAATTACTGCAAACACATCTCCCTTCCTAAGCCTCACACTTGTAACTTGGAAATGGGTGGTTTACCTAGTCATTTTTAATTACACGGAGCTTCAAACTACCTCTATTCAATGAGGGAGCAACACTGTTACTGCTGTCAGTAAATTGAAGTTGATTCCATCAATCCTGCAGACAAAAGTTCTCCAGTTGTTCACATTTGCCAAGTAAGGTTTCCCTGGTCAGCTGCCTGCTGACAGCAATTGAAAGATGGTAGCTAGGGATATTGTACACTTCAGGAGGCATCAAGAGAGACAGCATTGTTACTCCGTAGGCGAGTTTGTATCATTTGTAACTACCAAATAAAAGGGCACTGAGAAATCATTAGGAAGTATGTATTCAAGCAGGTCTCTAATTTATACAATTACATGAATATATGATGTACAATGAGTTTTGCTCTCTAACATCTCCAGGGAACAAAGTTTTAATTAACCAATAATGGCCATTCTCATGCAAGCACATGTGTTATATTCCTTGTGCTACAGATTTTAAAAAGAATGTGGTTAGTCTAGCTTTGAACATTAGGCACAAATAATCATGTGCATACAATTACTATAATTACATGCATTAATCTATGAGTGCAACTGGCCATTTGCTTTTGCAATTACTCCATTTTCATGTGAAGTACAGTAATTGCCTACAAAAACAAGGGGTGCAATTCGATGTGCATTTTTGTGTGAATAACTGCATACTTATAGTTTGAAAATTAGACCCTCTGCATCACACAACCATCATCTCAAAATCTTTAATTAACAATCTTATTTGAATGACTCCCACAAGATTAGGAGGTAAAAGTCACTATCAGTACTATTATAATACAGAAATCAAATGTCATATCTATACGTATGGTTTTAAAGGGTAAGTGTCCTTATATTATCCAGGTCAAGGATATGATAAATGTTCTCAGCAGCTGCAGTAATACATTGTCTCCACAGAGGTGCATCCAGGGATGTGCTGTTTGTAGCATTCCTCCTTTTCGCATCCTAGCCCTGTATTTCTCTTGTATGTCATGGGCTAGGCAGGACCCTTTGCTCCATAGGAACTTTTCCTTTCCCAGCTCTAATAGTAAGTTCTCCCTCTTCCCCTGCTACCTCACACACAGACTAGACTACCTTTATCTTTTTTTTCTGTCCAGCCAGTTTCTCTCTCACTACACACTCTCCAAGGCTCCTTTTGCACAAACTCCCTGGGGGGTCTCACTGGAGGAAAGAGGAATTGCTAACAGAATAATTTTAAACTGATTGGTTGACAAGAGAGGGAGAATCCCAGCAACTTTCTCAGCCAACCCTAGAAGATGGCCAAACATTAGAGATGCAATAGAAGTGTCCAGAGAAACAGGGACACTAAGGGAATCTAACTAAGAGTAAGAGATTTAGAGATGAATACTGAATGGTGAAAAGCTGAGAGGAAAGAGAGAGAGGCAGGAGAATGAAATGGCAGTCAGGTGAGAAGGGGAAGAATGATCGCCTTCTAAAGGAGCAACTCAGTGGAGTCCCATAGCAAAACTCTTGCTAGCTGTGTATTTAATTTTGAATTTTCCATACATAATTAGGATAACCAAAAAGGGAGAAGGGGATTTTTCCTGAAGGCTCAAACATCAGCTGGTAGTCCCCAAGTAATGCTTTGGTTTAAACATCATGATATTTAAAGTATCTCATTAGTTTGATGGGGTAAGAGAAGGGAGGTCTGGCATGATCTTTGTAGGTCTGTGGCTGACACCACTATAAACAAATAAAATGGCTCTCTGTTGGCACTTTGGTCTAGTAGACAGAATATTACTATCCAGTGATCCTAGTTTTCTTGTTCAGGTCCCAAATTGCAAATGCTCTGCATCTCAGCTGTCTACAGCAGCAATGGTAACAGTTACTCACCTCATAAGTGCAAGGCTTCATTTTTCATTTAACTCTGTACAGCCTTCTGAAACATGCAGATGCTACACACAATGAAGTGTAAATTCGGATTAACAGCCAAGTTCAACTACAACATCCGTACTCACATTCTGGGCTGGTTCCTAACAAGGAGTGGCTAACAACTCTCACTAAATTTAATAGGATTAAAAAATGTTGGTTGTAGCCATGTTGCCTAAGCACATAGGCAAATAAGGTTCCTTGAGTAAATGTGAAAATTTTTTATTAGACCAGCTAAGTAGTTGGAGAAATTGTTCTTTGCAAGCTTTCAGGTAACAAACACCCTTTGTCAGATGAAGCTGTGTGTTTGTACCCAAAAGCTTACAGAGAATAATTTTTCCAATTATTTAGTTGGTCTAATAAAAGATATCACATTTACCCAAAGAACCTTGTCTGCCTAGGAGTAAGAGGTGCTCAGGCCCTTTAAGTTGGAGTTCACAAGGCCCAGTCTGGCAAAATTTTGAACACCCCAATTCTCACTGCACTTACTGGTTGCTGAGGTTAGCATCTTGCAAAATATCTCAGGACCTTTGTAGGATTGGGGTCTAGGTCAGATCTAAAAAGGTTTGGGAATTTTTAATTTTCACACTTCTCAAGCTCAGCTTACTTTACCTTTCTCTCTCTAACTAAATCCAAGACTCACAGGGATTTAAGAAGAAACACAACCTTCTTTCATTAAAACCTGCTTTATCACAGATCGTCTTGATTTGTGTTATTCTAGCAATGTAGGGGAGGAGGGGATCATGTAGCCCTGAGTGTTTATTTTCCATCAGGCAATTAAGGTCCAGAGATAGGGCTGTAATTCTATGTGCTTACTTGCAAAATTATGTGTTCACTTACACCTGGACGGGGATAGGCCTGGTCAGTCTGGCACCACTTGCCAGGGTTGTTTGTATATGAACTTATCAAGGGCTCTGTGAGGGCAAACAAAGACTATTCAATTGAGACTTACACCCTCGTCTGTATAAACAGAAATCTTATCTTTTTTCAAAAATATTGATTTATAATATCATTTTCCCCTTTCTCTTGACAACTATTAGACCTTGACCAAAAGTTCTGATTGCATTTGGCTGACTTTTCTCTGCAATTTATAAAACAGGCCCCTCTGGTCTTGTTTTTTGTAAGATCTTTCATTCTGTTTTATTGTTTTCCTAGACACTGGTCACCTCATCACACTTACTGGTATTAAAATCCCATAATATATTTGTGGTCTGTTCTCCAAAGAACATCAGGTTCCTGTGCAGGTTCCTTATCATGAAACTGGGAAATTCCCTTCACTCTTGTTAAAAGGACCATGAAATGTTCCAGTGACATGTTCTTACATTGGAAAACACCCATTCACTGAACATTTTCCCCCCACCCCAGCAACATCCCTTTCAACCAATTACTGCCAACTGCAGCCAGTTTCTGCCAGAAACTTTGCCTCTTGCTAACTCACATGGCTGGCTGCTGGGAAGCCTGAGCTCTGCTGCTGTGGGGCAGCCTTACCATGCAGACTGCCAGATGCGTAAGGACACCAAGGTCCCAAATCCAAACACCTCTTGAACCTTAGCAGAATTTCTGGACTTTGGTCTGGATCTAGTTGTAATTAGGCCAGTTCTCTATAACAAACTAAACCCTCTGTTCTGAACATCTCAAAAAACTGAGGTTAAGCTTGGAAACCAATTCCAAGCCCAGGTCCAGGTTTTTGTTGCATATATCCAGGTCATACATCTATTTTTTTTCCACTGTCTGATGAAACATGTCTGAATTCACTGGCCAGTGACAGAAGGCTGAGACAGAAAGAAGCCTGTCCACCTAGCTGCTGGGTAAACACAACATTACAGGCCAGGAGGAGGGTTGCTTAGAGACGACTGTGTCTAACAGACGGGTGAGAGCAATGCTGATTGCAAGAACGTAGCATTCCATCATGACTCCAAGCCAGGGGGGCAAGTTCTTCCAGTAAAAACACTGTGCCAGTTAGCAGTTTAACCTGGGTTGACATGTTGCTGACTTAACCTTCTATGAAGCTGCAAAAGGTACAGGTTGCCCCACATGAGTGAGTGGTATGGTATACAGGTACTCAGTTAATCACAAGCGCACTTGCCGCCTTATGTAATCGTTCAAGGGCTGCTAATTATGAAAAGAATAAATTGTACTCCAAACCATATTTTTAAAACCCTCTCCCGAGGAAAGGGTTTTCTTCTCTGTCTTATCTCCCAAGGAAAGACTGAATATAATAAATGTCAGTACTTTCCCCCATACACTTGTTATTCTCAGCTATATCTAATCTCTTACACCTGTTCAGACTCATTATCCCTTTATGTCTGATAGCATTTCCATAATCTCTCCTGAAGGCAGATACGTCAGTTAATTAACTGTGCAGTGCATGCAGCTGAAAATACAAAGCTGGGTAAAGATCTAATACGTGGGTGCCAAGCCATCCTCACTTCACATGACCTGTTTAAGGAGTTGGACCCAATTGTACAATGTGAATTTTTTTCCTTACAGGTTGATGGCCAGTTTCTGCTTACCTGAGTTCTTCCACTGAATTCTGTCACCACTTATGGATAAAGAGCAGAAGACAGACATGATGAGTTTGAATCCCTGGCACCATCTCCTTTGGTTGAAGGAACATACCACAACTGGTTGATTCAGTCTATAGTATTAGGACTACGTGTGTGTTTCTTACTGGTGTTAATCCCTTACATTCATGTGTCATTCTTTTTAACAGAACCCAGCTGGCTAAGAGACTCCATCCTATCCTGGTGAACAATGACCTGACATCAATTATTTTTGCTTCCTCAGCTAGATTATAGGAATGTATTGTATCTGGGTATGAAGCCTTCAGTCCGTAGGCAACTCTGACCATTTCAGAATATGGCCATATGCCTTCATAGTAACTCAAACTACCAGGGGAATATCAGGCCCACCATCTGCTCCCTACACTGACTTTCTGTAGAATATTGATACATGTTAAAGGTTTCAGTTCTTATCTTCAAGGTGCCAAATGGCCTGGGCTGAAAGTCATGCATAGATACAGATCATGGTCAAAGCCTTCACTCATCTCATATGATGAGACTTCCTATTATAAGGGTAAAGGTCAATTGTGCAGAAGATGGGCTTGGCCTGGCCCCCCACAAATTCTTCGGGATATTTACTCTACAGAAACTAAGAACCACCACAAACCTCACTACTTTCTGCTCTAAGATCAAACTATAAACCTTGTCTTTAACATAAACACATAGCTATGAGAATGTCACACACAAAACACCAGTGAACCATATGTGATAGATAGGAAGCTTTTAATTGCTACAGTGATGATCATGATAGAACTAACTATACGGATGGAAATAAGATTAGAATAGCTGGTCCTAAATATAAATTGGCTATCCAAACACTAGCATCACCCCTGACAACGTGTAAGATAGAGCCAAGTTCATCATAGTAATAATGATTTGTGTAATTTGTGTTGTCCATATTTTAACAAATAATGGCATGGACAAGAAGTAGAAAGCCAGTCACAGAGGATTGAATTATCAGTGTACTGGAGGCTGGGAACTGCTGAAGTTCAGACACAACAGATTAGGATATGTAAGGGGTAGAGTATAAACAGGTACCTACAGAAAACTTGGGAATTTCCTACCACAAATGGAAAGATCACATGCCATCTCCAACTTTAAGAAGAATAAGAGTGGAGTGTTCCTAATTGATTCAGAATCTTTTTGTAATTATCAAAAGCAGACTTAACTAAGTGAAGGTGAGGGGGAAGGAAGGAAAGACCTTAAAATGAAACAGGATTACTCAAGGATATTATTCATTTCCTTAAACCTACATTTAAAGAGTTGGGGCAATGATTCCTATTTGAATGTCCTCAGTTTTCCAGTGTACTCTTATCTACAATTACTGATCTGTAATTATATGTTTCAAACAGTGGCCCAGTTACAGGAAGCCATGATTAAGTGTTCCGTCTAAATTAGTCCCTTGTGTATTAGTCATCATTTTAATGCTCAGTAGGCATGATTCTCCTTTCACACTTACACCAGGTCTCAATCACACATTGCTGTGACTCCAGTGATTCTAGAGGATTTACACCTGCATAAGTAAGAAAAACATCTAACCTACTGTATTCAATTAGCTATTTGAGATATATTTTTCCTTCAAATACTAATGACTGCTGCACTTCAGAAATTCCCTAATGAAGATCATAATACAGTGTTACATCAGGAAAAATAATTTTAGCTACTATAAACACAACAGACAACTTTGGCTTTTTGTTATTAGAAAGTAAGAGGGGGAAATCAAGAAGTACTAAGGAAATGTATACAAAACTGATATATTTTTATTAACATAACATCATAGGTGTGCACGGGACTTAACAAAACTGTAAATGATATAAAATTTATAGTGGCTACACAGGGGAAAATATTAGTACCAACTCATACAAAATGTCACTTCCCTGCCCCAACAAAAGTTTATCCTCACAAAAACAAATGGAAAGGAGGAGCATCTTGTGTATATAGAACAGTACACATATATGCTTTGTTTTGTTTGGTTGGTTTTAAATAGGGTTGCCTCTTACTTTGGAGGCCATGTGTCACTTG